TCCTCCACACAATATTCTTCCCTGTTGGTTGCATGGCAGGAGAAAGACAGAAACTCTGTCTCATCCTTCTCATCAGATGCTGATCTGGAGGGGGAAGAACTGGAAGAGGTGAGAGACAAAGACCAGGCCAGACCAGATCTCTGAATCTTGGCTAAAATCTGTCTCTGGTGCTTAATGCTTGGAGCTGGAGGAGACTGAGGGGAGACCTCAGTGCAGTTCCAACTGCCTGGGCAGGGGCAGAGGAGGGGCAGGGACTGAGCTCTGCTCTGGGGGGACCAGGGACAGCAGCCAGGGAATGGCTGGAGCTGTGTCAGGGCAGGCTCAGGTTGGATCTCAGTAAAAGGTTCTTTCCCCAGAGGCTGGTTGGGCACTGCCCAGGCTCCCCAGGGCAGTGGGCACAGCCCCAAGGCTGCCAGAGCTCCAGGAGGGTTTGGATGATCCTCTGGGGCACAGGGGGTGACTCTTGGGGATGGGCCTGTGCAGGGCCAGGGTTGGACTGGATGATCCTTGTGGGTCCCTTCCAGCTCAGCACATTCTGGGATTCTGTGACCTTGGGCAGAAGGCTGGTGCTGCTGTCACTGCTTGTCCCAGAACTGGATTTCTTCCTCTTACATTGAAATTTCCCAGAACTGGATTTCTTCCTCTTACATTGAAATTTCCCCCTAATAGCTATATAAATGAATGACTATTTGGCAATAAGGGTTGAATGCAATTCATGCTGATTGCCTGATCTTAGGAGAGGGTCTCACACTGGCAGCAGTGTGGCAGTACCACAACAGCATGTGCACCCCTTACCTTTTTTCGCCACAATTAAGTGAGAAACTTTTGAGTGTTTGACATCATCTCCTATAATTCTCCACCTAATCACCAAAAAGAAGCCAGTATCCTTTTGATGTTTAAGCAGTAATAATCCTTTTTTCATTTCAAGGGTCTACTCCCTCAGTTTTATTCCTGTGACTAATTGTTCATCCCTTCCTTGCTGCTAAATGACAGTGTGGCTGGTGGCAGGAATTAATGAAACCATGAACTGCATCTCATCTGTGGCGACTCTTCCCTTTGCAGTCCACCTGGTCGATGAAGTTCCTCAGTGGTGCAGTGTGTCAGGGGATGAGAATGTCTTTGTTCTGGGGAGAGCTGCAGCACCACAACCACTTCAAAGGTGTGTAAAGAGTGAAGGGGTGAAGCTCTGATCTGGTGTGACACAGCACTGGTGAGTGCTCGAGGCTCCCTAGCAGTGTGTGCAGTATACAGTGGGGAAGGTAGGTGAGAAAGAAAAGGGTCAAATACCATCCAAAACCAAACAAAAAACATGTGCCTCCAGTATAATCTAAATTCAGCTTAATTAGGTGACTTGGTTGGAGATGATGGAAAAGAAATAACAGCCCCATTAAAGGACAAACCCTGTTGTCTCACACCTTTAGAGGCCCCGTGTTATCAGGAGCACAGATGAGTGGAGCACCATCCCTGGAAGTGTCCAAGGCCAGCTTGGACAGGGCTTGGAGCACCCTGGGCTAGTGGAAGGTGTCCCTGCCCATGGCAGAGGGTGGAATGAGATGAGCTTTAAGGTCTCTTCCCACCCAAACTGTTCTGGGATTCTATGATTCATCCCTGAAGTTTATCCACATGCATTGACTGTTTTGCTGTCTCTGGTCATTGCAGAACCCCAGCAGCTGAAACAACTTGCAAGGAAAGACCCCTCTTGACCTTCTCATCATCGGGGCAAACACTGCAACAACAGCAGCTCCCTGTGAAATGGTCTTCAGGTACAGTGAGAAAGGCTCTGCTGGTGGTGCCCTGTGCAGTCCTGGGGCAGGTGTGGGTCACATGGAGGGTCTGAGGAGCACAGGGGAGCACAGAAAGAAAAAGAGTCAAAAAAGAAAGGCCAAGTCCACTCTTGCTTGGTAGATGCTGTCCTGGGATCTGTAACACCACTCTGTGGGTTGTTGGCTGCAGGAAGCTCCAGTGTTGTATCACAAAATTGAAGTCGAGGCCTTGAAGGCATTTCCTGAACTGCTGACTCTAAAGGAAGTACATGACTTGTTGTTTTTTTAAACATCAAGATTTTGCTCTTACATCTTTCTCATCCTCTAGGCACAATAAGTTTAATATGAAACTTGACAGGAAACATGAACTATTGCCCAAAGGTGGTGGCTAGTGATGAAATACCACCCTGTGCTCTGGGAGATGCCTTTTTGTCCCCAGAGATTTGCAGGTTAGACTGGTACACATGTACATGACATGCTCTTACAAACTTGTGCTGCTTTTGGCACATGTGGGAATGCTGGTTTTGCATTAAATTTTTATTGTGTTCTCTATGTAATTATGCTCTATATGGTATCCTGTAATTACCAACTTGGATTGCTTTAATAATTCAATGAACATACTGGGGAAATTCTGTTTACGTGGTTTTGAAAAATTTAGAGAGGTTTTGCTCTTTCTAATGGATCCGAGTATAATATCACATATGAGACATGAATTCTATCTCTAGGCCAATGTTACCAGTCAGTAACAAAATCAGGGGGAAAACCTCAAAAAGAGGTTTCCCTGAGTCTGTGTCTCGGGAATATCAAATGGCATTTCATAAACAGACAGATTTCTAATTGCGGGTTTTTCCTGGGTCACTGCTTTTTGAAGACCTTTATTGGAGTGGACAAACCAGTGAAAAGAGCAGCCAGCTACCCAGATTGAGCTAAGAGTTGGCTTTCCTGCCTGCTCACCTTGGGGAGGACACATTTACCGGGTGCTTTATGGGGAGCTCAGGATATGCAATTATTCTTTAAACTTGGAGGTTTTTTCCCCTCAGGTTTTCATAAGTTAAAATAGGAATGCTTCTCCCAAATATACCAAATCAGAATCAAGACTGAAACTCCAGTTGCTGGGAGAAGGGAGGTTCTGTCAGTCAGCTTTGAAGGTGGTTGCCACCCAAAGGACTCTGATCCAGAGACAACTTGTGAGTGAGGGAGAAGAACCAACCCCCCAGCCATCTCTACTGCAATTACATGAACTTACTCTGAAAAGTGGAAGATATTAAGAAATAGAAAGAAATCAGTTAAAACAAAGCCCTTGAGCTCTGTGAAGTGCAGTGGAACTGCATAGCCCTCACTTTTTAAGGCCTGGGGAGGCCCAGGAGGCTCAGCTTCTGCTGTATCCAAACCATTTTGCATTTGTGATTTCAATCTTGTGGAAGGGGATGTGGCACAAAGAAAGCACCTGGAAGATGTCGTGGGTTAGACCATGCTGGGGACTGGATAATGACCCCTGGTATGGACCCTCTGAGCATCACTCCTGTCTCCCTCCTCCCCAGTGAGCGAGTGCACCCGTGAGGGTGGGGAGGCCCTGGCAAAGAGAAGCTGTGGCTGCCCCATCCCTGGAAGCGTCCCAGGCCAGGTTGGACAGAGCTTGGAGCACCCTGGGCTAGTGGAAGTTGTCCCTGCCCATGGCAGGGGGTGGCACTGGATGGGCTTTAAGGTCCCTTCCAACCCAAACCATTCTGGGATTCCATGATCGTGGACTCAGCGTAACCTTCACACCTGAGAAGAAGCAGGGAGGGTGAACTTCAGGCAGGTGCTGTGGGTCTGCTGCACCCCTCAGTTAGTTTTGGGTAATGCCTGACAGAGGGCCTTGCTGACATGTTAATTCATGACAACTCCTAGAGTTTCCCAAGCAACAAGGCGATGGCTGTGCTGCTTCCCACTCTCACTGAAGACAAACCAGGTACTTAAAGGATGACAAAAAAGGGGCAAATATGTAAAATTTGTAAATACCAGGGAGAAGAAATGAATTATGTAAAGTAAAAAGGAAACTTAGCATGAAATTAAGGAAAAAGGAGGTGTAAATTTTGTATCAGGAACATCTCCACAGACAGACATATTGGGCTGTGACAAAAACCTATCAGAAATCAGGACTTTCTGTGGTAGGGAGGCTGCAGAGCTCTACATTATGCTTTGGAGCAGTTAGCATAATTTTTTTATATTTCTGCATTGGCAGAAAAACACCAAAAATGCTCAAAGCATTTAAATTTTAAAACTGTGCAGGAAGCTGTGGATCCCAGGCTTGGGCTCCCATTGAAGCCCAGTCCCAGCGTGTCTCGGCTGTGGGTTTCCTGTCCATCCCATCCCATCTGGTGAGAATCAGCTTGGAAGCCACGGGAGTTTGCAGCTGGTGAAGCAGGAGCTGCAGCAGCCTCAGGTCAGGAGCATAAAGCTGCCCCAGGGCAGAGTCCCAGGTGCAGGCTTGGCTTCCCAAATCCTGTCCCCCTGACCATCCCATGCTGTCACCACTTGCCAGCCTGCCCTGCTGGGAGTGAAGGATGGCTCTGAGTGCTGTTCCTCTCCATGGCTGGTTACAGCTGGCTCTGAGGCACGGTGGTGGTTCTGACTGACCACTAAGCATGGCTGAAATGACATCTTTAAAAATGTCATTCTCTCAGATTTCAGTAGATGATATGCTGGATTAGTCGTTGTTATGTGCCAACATTTGATAGCTAGCATGGGAATTTGGAAGAGAAACTAGGGATATACTATCAGCCCATTGTAGTGCTGGACTAAATGGGCTCTTGATGGCTTTTTTTTTTCCAAAGTGAATAAAAGTGGGAGGAAAACTGGCTTGCCAAGAGGAATAGTTAGCAATTAATGAAAAATTGCTTTGCTCTTTGTAGGCTTTACAGATGCAAGGATGGGACAAACATTTCTTTGGTCCTGATTCAGCAGGTTCACGGGGGTCACACAATTCACAGGACAAAGCTCTGGCCTGACCTGTGGAGAGGGATCTGCTGGAGAGCCACGGAGCACAGGAAAGCCTTTGATCTCTGTGTGCGCCTGCCAGTTGGCCACTGCTGTGTCAGAAATGCCTCTGCTGTTAGTGGGGAATGTGAGTGTGATAAAGGGGAATTTCAGAGCGTGCTGAATGCAAAGCCTCAGCTTCCTCCTGCCTCCAGAATGTTCTGTGGCTCCAGAACCAGCTGGATGGTAACACTTCTCTGCAGCCACCTCGCTCCCCCAAACATCGGACTCCTCCATCCACCACATGGAGAAATGAGCAAAACCAAGCTCAGAGACCCTCAGTCAAGTTGTATTAAAACTTTTGTGGCCACAGAAGATTTCCTCTGGCTGCAGGAACAGAGGAGCAGACTCATAATTTCTAGGGCTGTCTCAGCTGACAGTGGTGGCCGTGTTGTCCTGGACTGCCCAGGATGGAGTCCAGCTTGCAATCCGTGCCAGAAAATATGGGAATGTGAGCATGGCCAGGATTTGCAGGGAGACATAAGGCCAAATGCCCTTTGCATCCAAAACACACTTAAAAAGTGCTTGTTCTGCTGAGCTGGCCATACAGAATTTCTCTAAGGAGCTGAGCAGTGAGGAAAAACAGGAGCAAAATTGAAGCCCAAGAGGCTGCAGGTCTAATGAGGTCCCACCACCCCACACAGGGCTGGAGCCTGGAAGCAGGAAGAGGAGCTGGGAAGGCTGTGCTCCCCACTCTGGATGCCTGCAGCCAGGGGTTGTGGGCACTTGGGCTGTGCTGCAGCAGGGGAATGAGGCATCAGGCACAGAGGAGGAGGAGAGGGATCCTCCGGGGGAAATGGGAGCGAACTCTCCTGGGGGCTGGAAGGGGTCCCAGAGGAGCCCTTCTCAGCTGGGTGTGGAAATGTCAGGGTGAGGAGCACAGCCAGTGCTGGGGTGGGATGGCAAGAGTGGCTCTGGGAATGGGATTATTGAACAACTGCCACAGCTTGTTCTTTGCCTCACAACAACCTCCCCTCTTGAGTTTGCTCCAAGCAGCAGCCTGAATCCTGAGAGCTTGCAGAGAGCTGGCTCCTTGGAAATGGAACTAGGCCTGACAGGAAGCCATCAGTATTCTGGTCAAATACAAGTAGTAAAAACCCTATAGAGTAAAAAAAGGTTGGTTTATTTATTATTTTTTTCTATTATAAGTTGTTACTCTGTTTGCCCTCAACTCTAAATTGGCCTTTTGACTCTTTGTGACTGGTTCCATCAAAGGATAGACAAGAAGGCCACTACTGCTCTTGGAAAAACCTGCTGGTATTTGCAGTGATGCAGAAAATATCCTTGGAAAATATCCTTACAGTAATGGGGGTGAGAGGAGGATTGTGATTCCTCCCAGCAGGAATGTCTGCACTGGCACTGGGAGATGTGGAGGGTGAAATGGGGCACTTCTCTGGCTCCTCAGGACTTGTGGGATGGAGAGCAGTCCTGGAGCATGACCATCCATGAATTCATGCTGAGGTCCTGCCCAACAAGTCTCCCAGGAATTTCTCCTCCCCTCCAAGTGAAAGGTAAAGGGGGTGTGTGTGATATAACAAATACTGCACCATGTCTTTCCTGTGCAAAGGGCTCTGGGCTGGGAACCAACGGGGCCTTGGTACCACCAAAGACTGTTCTTTTTTGCAGCATTAACCATGAAGGGAAAACTCAACATTTTTGAAATGCAGTCCCAAATTTACACTGTGCTGGAATGTCTTTCCATTGCACAACTACAGGGTGAGCTGCTCTGGGGTAGAGATGGAGCAATTTTTTGCTCTCCAGGAGCAAGATAAACCACACTTATTTTTCACACCACATGGAGATTGGTGGGAAATGTTGACATGGTTGTGTCTGTCTGTCAAGGGGACAACAGCAGCTTCAGCATTTTTTTTGCACATCTCTTTAAAATTCAACTATTTATTGACTTTGTCTTACAGTAAAGGAAGTGTAATTTTGTTTTGCACTTCAGGGATCAATTCAAGTAATCTCATTTTATTTATGAATGTAATGAGGTGTGATTTTCACAGGTATAAACTGAAACTGCAGCTACCAGCCTGCCCCTCATCTTACAGGAGCAATGCCAGCAAGTGATATATTGATTTCATATTTTTATGAGTTCTTATAGTAATTTTCTTTCCATAACAGGTACAGAAATCTGAGCATACATTTCTGTATACTGTATATTTTGTTATAAAAAGGAACTCATTGCTCTGGGCATTAAATTCAGTTTGCATAACAATGTTCCTGCTGCAGCCAGGACTGCCAAGCAAAATATTTGCCTATTTACTGCTCTGATAGCATTTACCTTTGCTAAGTAGCAGGGTTTTGAAAGAGGGGTTTATATATTAAATGCCCAGAAAGGGTTGAGAAGAGAGGGCTGA